ATTCCATGTATCAGCGATATTAGAAAATAGTAATGACAGTCTGGAAAAATACCATAGGATGAAGGATGAAAAACATGTTGAAGTCTTTCTCCAAACCAGTCGTTGTTTGCACCACTCTTTGATTCATGATGATTTTTTTTTTGTCACACAGTTTTCATTTGTTAATTCAAGAGGTAGAACCCAAGCAAAGCAACTGGGCCAGACTCTGTCTCTCCATCCACCCTGAAGCACCTGATGCTGTCCCACCTGAAATCCATCACAGACACCCTCCTGGACCCCCTGCAGGTCTGTGGACAAAACCACCTCCCTCTGCTTCATCCTGCAGCACCTGGTCCACAAAGATGATCTTATGCCAGGATCCTCTTTGTGGACTTCAGCTCTACCTTCAACACCATCGTCCCAGCTCTGATACAGGAGAAGCTCTCCCAGCTGAAAGTGCCACTCCCCACCTGCAGGGGGGTCACAGACTTCTTGATGGACCAAAAGCAGCATTTGCGGTTGTGAAAGCATGTCCACGACCTCCGAACCATCAGCATCAGAATCCCCAAGGCTGCTTTTTTTCTCCTCGGCGCAGGACCTCCCAGTCACCACACTGGAGTCCATCCACCTCCTGGGCACCACCATCACCCCTGAAGTGGGGGCTGAACATCAACTCCATCACCAGGAAAGCCCACCAGAGGATGTTCTTCCTGCAGCGGCTGAAGAAGTTCAACCGGCCAAAGACAGTGATGGTGCACTTCTCCAGCCATCATAGAGTCCATCCTCACCTCCTCAATCACCATCTGGTACCCTGCTGCCACCGCCAAGGACAAAGGCAGCCTGCAGCGTTTCATCCACTCTGCAGAGAAGATGATTGCCTGCCACCTTCCACCCTTCATAGACCTGTACGCCTCCAGGTCCCAGAAGTGAGCAGGGAAGCTTTTTGCAGTCTCATTCAGACTCTCCCATCCAGCAGGAGGTTACGGTTTTTCAGGACCAAAACCTCTCGCCACAAATACTGTTTCTTCCCTAATTTCTTCTACTCATCAGCCAGCCCAGGGACCCCCACAGACTCAGCTGTACTCTGCTCCAATTAAATGTTACATTAATGTATTGTGTTACACTAAAGCCATCCCAGCTGATGTGTACTTGTCACTGCACTGTAACAATGTTCATTTGCGCATCATCTTTACATTTGCACTGCGTTCTACGTTCATGTCTTTGCTGTTTTGCATTACCCGTGGTTAGTTCTTAGTTTAGTTTAGTCTTCTGTTACACTTATATCTAGCAGTGCTACAAATCTATTTATACCGGATTTTCTAATCTTTTATTGTCTCTTAATTCTTTGTATACGTTGCATGTTCTGCACCACAACCATGTCAAATTCATTGAATGTAAAAATACTGTCAGTCAATAAACCTGATTGTAATTCTGATGCAGCAGCAACAACTTAGATTCTAAGGGTTTTGTTCTATGGGATTGGTGACATGCATTTGAATCCAGTTATGGTGCATTTCCACTGGTGCCTACTCAGCATGGCATGGCTCTACACTGTATTTTTGTATTTCCACCAGGGGCTGGCCCCACTAAACAGTTCCAAAGTTGGGCCCCAGGGCTCCATCAGGACTGAGTAGTGCTGACGGCAGGCTGCCAGGAGCTGATTGGCAGCGGAGTCACATGGACCACAACAAATGTCTGATTTGACATCACCCGCCAGGCATCCCCTCTTTCTGTTCAGCCTTAATTTGTATTGGAAAACTGTCTAAACTGTGTAGAGCTGTGTCAGGCTGAACCGTGTAGGGCTGTGTAGGAATGACTGAAAACGCCATTTGACTTAGACTTTGAATTGAAGAAAAAACTGCAAAGTTACTGGAATTAAAGTTAGAATTAAACCAGTGACACAAAAATGAACCAGACTGTGTTCATATGTGTGAAATAATTTCCTGATTTGAACAATTGAATACAACAATTCTAACACCTGATCAGCATCTAATGAAGAACATCCTGACCCTTATGGTCCCTTTATAGACCAGTGAGCAGGGCTAACAGCATGTATTTTGAGTCATCAAGTGGGTCATCAAGTCCTTTTACCAGTGTTTGGCCAAGTTGGTCTAACGACACCTCCAGGAGGCAGGACAGTGATCACTGGCATCCAAAACTCACTTCCCTAATGCTCACCATCACTTCGCCCCACACCACAACAGCTATCTGGTCTAACATAAACAGCACTCCACTCTGACCAGCTACCCCAGCCTCTCACCAATTACACAAGTAAAA